GCTTTCTTGCCACTTTTGAGAGCAGCGTGGGATAAGGTCCAAAGAAAGAAAGAAAGTGGGGGATGAAGGAGAGGAGGGAGAGAGGAGAGGAAAGGAGAGAGAAGGGAATGTAAGAGACCACTGGAAGGATGTAAAGTAAATGAGAAAAGATGTTATGGATAAAGATTCTATAGAGATTATAGATGAAAATACAATAGGTAAAGATTCGAGGAGTTAAGATAGGCAGAAGATTAAAGATTGGTTACACAGTCGCCCCTCCGTTCCAAATTTGTATGTTTGCTTTGCTGTGAGTTAATAAAAAATGTAAAATAAAGGAAAAAGAAAACTCCATGATAGGTTTGCCTTAGGGTCACCATAAGTTGAAAATGTCTTGAAGGCACACAGCAACCACAACCACAACCACAACCACTGCAGCGGCCAACTCAGAAGGGCTGAGGAAAGGTCTCTCATGCAAGGTGATGGGGTCTTCTTCATTTTCGGTCTTTCAGCAAAGGTCACTTGTCCAGGATTTGTTTTAGGTGTGGATCCCTGCAATGGCAGCGGATTGGATTGGGTGACCCTCAGGATCCCTTCCAATGGCCTGAATCTTATTGATCGAGTAGAGTAGACCCATTGACACTGGTGTGGTGTCTCTTATTATAGAGGGATGTTTTCCTTCTATATAGACTACTAGACAATCCTGTATTTTTGGACTGTGGGTCCTCTATAAAGACAGAAATCCAATTCATGAATGTAGACTATGGACTTTATCACACGGAGGAAATCCCGTGCACAAACAAGGTTTTAAATATTAACAAACCCCACAAAAGCTTGTAGATTTTCACACAACATCGATGTTAAAGTGTGCTTAACCCAAATGGAAAGTAGTCAAAAGTCGCTTCTTTTTACTTTTGGGAAATCCCCAAAATAAAAAGAAGTGGCTTTTGACTACTTTCCGTTTGGGTTAAGCACACTTTAGCATCAACGTTGTGTGAAAATCTACCCGCTTTTGCAGTTTCCCCCCACCTTTTAAATCCCATTTCTGTACGGGATTTCCCCTGAGTGATAAAGTCCAATGCGTCACTTTTACAGAGAAACCCATGGCAAGGGTAGCAGAAACCAATGCTTCCATTTGGTAGAACACAAACTTGTCAATAGCTACAGTAGGCCCTCCACTTTGTGGCTTTTGACTTTTGTGGATTTATTTGTAAATTTCAATAATATCTTCTCTCTAGGTCCTCCAGAGCAACTCTGTGGTCAATGTCTGATAGATGCTGACCACATAATCGGGTTGGAGGACCTAGAGATTTCTAGAGAAAACACTTCTCTAGGCATTTTTAGGTCCTTCATCATGATTCCATGGTCGGCTTCCACCAGATGTTTACCATAGAGTCAT